GTTTCTTCCCCACTAAAAAAAGTTGTTCTCGCCATAAATGCCGCGCGCATTCGTCTCAAGAAGTTGCAGCATTTTCAAGGATTCGCATGTTCACGTCCCAGGGCATGGTGCTGGGCTACCATGTCGCAACAGTTGCATTGATTCGTGGTGTTGGAGTCCCAGGAATGGTGTCCTGGCGCACCCAGGGCCGTCAAGACGCAACACAGATGCTGATTCGCGGCTTTGAAGTCCCAGGAATGGTTTTCTGGCACAGTCCAGGGTTTTTCAAACGAGTGTCTTCCAACTGGACATTTCCTGCCGTGAAGTTGGAGGGAGTGGTCTTGTAAGAACGTTGGTGAGTCTTGGGGTTGCACTGGTCCTCCTCCTCCTCCTCCTTCTCCACACCATCATCATCAGATTCCTCCCTCTGCTTCGTTTCCTCTCCCTCCCTCGTCCTACTTGTCCTCCTGCTGCTGTTCCTCCTGCTTCTGCTTCCCTCCATCCCCCGCGTCCCTCAACAATTACGCACTATAAGTGCTATTCTCCTCTTTCCCGGGACCCTGTCCGGAAGGTACTTGGCCCTCTCTCCGCGTTTTTGTTGCTTTTGGTACAGGATTGTGAGGGCATTGCGGACGGTGCCGCCGACCCAGGACGTCGACGACGACCACGACGAGAACCACGACGACAACGATAGCGACGATATGATGATCGTGCCACGGGCTCGGGGCATGGGGCGGGCGGTGGAGAGAGGAGGAGGGGGAGGAGCAGAAGGAGGAGGAGCAGGAGGAGGAGGAGAATGAAGAGGATGAAGAGGAGGAGGAGGAGGTGGAATAGGAGGCGGTGGAGGAGGAGGAAGAGGAGGAGGAAGAGGAGCAGGAATAATAATGATAATAAGCATAAGCGTAGTACGAGTATTAAAATCAATAGTCATCATCAAACGAAACAACTAATATTTTCAACATATAAAGCGACTGTACGAATACGAAGAGTAAGAGAGATAACCCCAAGCAGACAAATAATCATAGTACGAAGATGGCGAATCCAGGTTACTAATACTATTCATATTATACCGGAGACAAGCCCGATCATAACCTTTTTAGGGCTATGGGGCTATAAGGCTATAGGGCTATAGGGCTATAAGGCCATGGGGCTACAGGACTATAGGGCTATAGGGCTATAGGGCTGTAGGGCTATAGGGCTATGGGGCTATAGGGCTATTAGGGCTGTATGGGCTACCATAGGGCTATAGGGCTATAAGGCTATAGGGCTATAGGGTTATAGGGCTACCGGGCACCCGGGCACCCTGGCGTGCCGCCGAAATCGGCGGCGCAGCTAATCTAACCATATGATACTGGAGAAAATCCCAATCATAATCTTTTTAGGGCTCTAGGGCTACAAGGCTATAGGGCTATAGGACTATCGGCCCAAAAGGCTATGGGGCTATATGGCTATAGAGCTATACGGCTATAGGGCTATAGGGCTATAGGGCTATACGGCTATCGGCTATAGGGCTATAGGGCTATAGGGCTATACGGCTATCGGCTATAGGGCTATAGGGCTATTAGGGCTATAGGGCTATAAGGCTATAGTGCTATAGGCCTACAAGGCTATAAGGCTATAGAGCTGTAGGGCTATATGGCTACCAGGCACCTGGGCACCCGGGCACCCGGGCACCCTGGCGTGCCGCCAAAATGGGTTGCGCAGCTAACCTGACCATATGAACCCGCCAGGACCCCGACAGAGGCAAGCTCTGATTGGGGAATGAATCCGCTAGGACCCCAACAGAGGCAAGCTCTGATTGGGGAACTACTGCTACGAATTCGAAGGATACGAGTAACACGACAAAGCAGAAGCCGACTACGGATAACAAGTATGCCAGTCGTAGTACCTACGGTACTCATAACAAGACGAAATATAAAAACACTAAGACGAACATTATGAATAATACGACTAATTCGAATACGAATATAACGAATTATAATAACCAGTACTAAGACGAAGTTTGCCAATCATGAGAACAGTAATGATCAGACTCGTAGTCATAATAAGACGCATGCGAATAACAATACGAACAATACAACTACTTGTATTAGTTGCAGTAGTAAATATAAGGGTTATACTTGTAGTTGTAATACGAGGAATATGGATACTGATACTTAAAACAATGGTACGACTATGAGTCATAGCATTACGAACCGTACTACTATTAAGAACACTTCTCATGATACGTATACGAACAATAAAACTAGTATGTCTGCTGACAATACTAACACTACCACTACCATTAGTGCTAAGAGAAAACCTAGTGCTACTACTATTTCTAGTAATAATCAGTAGCAGCATGAATGCTGCGACTGTACTTATATAAACATAAGCCTATTACTACGACTACGACTACGACTACTACTACTTTTACAAGTGCTACTACTACTTCTCTTCCTCCTCCTCCTCCTCCTCCTACTACTACTACTTCTACTACTTGTAACTACTACGACTACTACTACTACTACTACTACTACTACTACTACTACTTCTACTACTACTATTACTACTACCACTATTACTACTACTACTACCACTACTACTACTACTACTGCTACTACCATTCCTACTACTACTACTACTACGACGACTACTACTACTACTATTACTACTACTACTACTGCTACTACTTGAAACTACTACTACTACTACTACTACTACTATTACTACTACTACTACTACTACTACTACGACTACTACTACTACTACTACTACTGCTACTGCTACTTCCACTCCTACTATTACGACGACTGCTACCACGACTAAAACTATTAATGCTACTAAGAAATCATACAACTAATAATTCATAGTATTACCAATCCCTAGACATGCCTAGTACTGCTACGACGGATCCCTGTTCATAACCTCCACTACTAAAATCTTTACAACTAAGATTTACGATGATAGTAGTACGACTACTAACAAGATTTGTCCTACTACTAAGACTTACTAGTACCATTATTCATAATAAGAAGGCGAAGAGGAGGAGGATTCTGATGATGATGATGCTGATGATGCTGCTGCTGCTGATGATGATGCAGATGCTGATGATGATGCTAATGCTGCTGCTGCTGCTGCTGCTGATGATGATGATGATGATGATGATGATGAGGATGAGGATGAGGATGAGGATGAGGATGATGATGATGGTGATGATGATGATGATGATGATGGTGGTGGTGGTGGTGGTGGTGGTGGTGAGGAGGAGGAGGAGGAGGAGGTGGTGTGGTGGTGGTGATGATGAGGAGAGGAGGAGATGATGGATGATGATGATGATGATGATGATGAGGAGGATGAGGAGGAGGAGGAGGAGGAGGAGGAGGAGGAGGAGGATGAGGATGAAGGAGAAGGAGGAGAGGAGGAGGGGGAGGAGAGGAGCAATACAAGGATGATAAAGAAAAGGAGGAGGAGGAGGAGGAGAGGAGGAGGAGGAGGAGCAGGAGGAGGAGGAGGGAGAGGGATAATACGAGGAGGAGAGAGCATGAGGAGAAGGAGGAGCAGGAGCAGGAGGAGGAGATGAGGAGGAGGACAGAGAGAGGAGGAGAAGGAGGAGGAACAGGATAAAGGAGGAGGAGAGGAGGAGGAGGAGGAGGAGGAGGAGGAGGAGGAGGAGGAGGAGAGAGGAGAGAGGAGAGAGGAGAGAGGAGAGAGGAGAGAGGAGAGAGGAGGAGGAGAGCCGTGTGTCTCCCGGGGGGCGGGCGTCTGGGAGGCGACGGGGCCGAGGCCCGGGCTCGGAGGCCCCGGTGCCAGGGCCGGGGCTGGGGCCATGGCCGCGGCCGGGGCCAGGCCCGGGCCAGGGTCGCGGACAGGGCCGGGGACGGGGCCGAGGCCGGGGCCACGGCTGGCTGGAGCCGGAGGCCGCAGGGCCAGGGCCAGGAGCCGGGACAGGGGCCAGAGCGGGGGCCGAGGCCGGGGTCCACAGGGAGGGAGGGCCGCTAAGGCCCCAGGTGGGGCGGTAATCTGACCCGGGATTCCCTCCCCGTGCCCCCCCCCCCTGCGCCCCCTCCCCCTCTCTTCCCCCCCGCCAGGGAGGGGAAAAGGGGAGGGGATCGACTTCAATAGCGGGCCACATGCGAACCCTACCCCTACCCCCCACGATCTCTTAGGGGGAGGGTGGGGTTCACGTCGTTCGGGAGCAGGGGGAGGGTGGGGTTCACGTCGCTCGGGCGCTCCCGAGCGAAGTGAACCCCACCCTCCCCCTCAGAAATCGTGGGGGGTAGGGGTAGGGTTCGCATGTGGCCCCCTATTGACTACGACGTTTGGTTTCGCTGTTCGTTTTTAGATTCCCTCGGGACTGGCGACGACGGCGACGAAGACGACGACGAAGGCAACGACGGCTTCTCACACACGGCGACCGGGTCTGCGGATTTCAAGCATTGATTTTTTTTCCTGATTGGATGTTGCAGTCCGATTTTCTTCGGTTTCTCAGACTGGTGCTCCTGCTGCAGCGTGGACCTCATTTTCCGATCGGCGCTCTGCCGTCGTTGAGAACGGTGCTCTTGCCCCAGCGCGGGGCACTTCTCTTTGCGGATTCGAGTCAACTCTCATGGTTGCCGCCCCCCTTATCTTATCCCCCTCCGCCTTCCCCAGGTCCTCCTGCTCCTCCCGCTCCTTCTACTCCTGTTCCTGCCGCTGCTGTTCGTCCTCGTCCTCCTCCTTCCTTCCTCTCCGTTTCCTCTTGCTCGTCCTCTTGCTCATCCGCAACCTCCGCCTCCAATGTATGCAGCTCCCCATTCCGATTCGGTGTAACACCAGATGCCCCGTTTTGGATTTTCAGGTCCATTACGACACGCGTCCGCGGACAGAGGAAGCACATCAGCGCCATGGGAAGGGATCGGCGGGAGGGGTCAGGATGCCAGATACGGCGCGAGCGCACCTGGCCTGTTTCCGCATCTTCCCTCCTCTCCCCCCCTCCTTCCCTCCTCCTCTCCCCCCTCCCCGCTTCTCTGCCCCTCCTGCGCCCCGATGGCGCTCCTGAGCTCCCTGAGCCTCGCCCTGGTCCACCCGCGGCGCCCTGTGGGCGCGAAGGCGGCGGGCAACGCCGCGGGAGCCTCGCCGGCGGGCGCCAAGGCTGCGCCCGCGGCGCCGACGGCGACGCGGCCCACACGGCCCGCCGCGGCACCCGTGGCTGCCCCAGCGAGGCTGGCAAGTCGTCGTCATCGTCCTCGCTATCGTCGTCGTCGTCGTCGTCGTCGTCGCCGCCGCCGCCGTCGTCGTCGTCGTCGGCGCTATCGTCGTCGCTATCGTCGTCGTCGTCGTCGTCGTCGTCGCCGCCATTTGACGTCGTCCGTCGTCGCTCGTCGGTCGTCGGTCGTCGGTCGTCGGTCGTGGGTCGTCGTCGTCGTCCGTCCGTCGTCCGTCGTCCGTCGTCGGCCTGCGTCGTTCTTGGTCGTCCGTCGGCATCAGCGTCCACGTCGTCGGTCTCGGCGTTGTCGTCGTGGCCCGTCGTATTTTTGATCGTCGTTCTCATCGATTCTGGGCTGTCGCAGCTCCACACTTCTACAGCCGAAGAGCTTCAGAAGGATGAGCAACCTTCCAAGGTCACCCGTGCATCCTTGCCCCTTCGGCCCACTCCTGGCCGCTTTCGCTGGCCGCGCCCAGCTCGAAACGTGTCGACCTGGCCCTCCAAGGCCCTCGCATACGCGTTGACTGCACGTTTCCTCGCACTCGGGCCTCCTCGCCCCTCGCCTCATCCTTCGCCGAGACCGCCCGCTGCTGCTCCGCCGAGACCGCCCGCGCCCGCTCCTGCGCCCGAGCGCCCCGCGGCGCAGTCTGGGGGCGCCGCGGCGGCGGCAGTGCCAGAGCCAGCGGGGCCCCAGAGCATGGGCAACCTGCTGGGCTACAGCGACAGCGAGGACCCGGGGGGGGTCGTGGGCGCAAAGGCATCTATCCGCATCCGCGGCCCTGCGGGCGGGGCTCCCGGGCCGCGCCCCCCGCAGGCACGGGGCGTTCTCGTCGGGAGTGCCCCGCGCCAAGAACGTACCCGTGCGACCGCGTATCCGCGGGATCGTTCAAGGGAGAAAAAATATCCACCCCGACCCCCATCCTTGGCGCTTCCTGAACGGCCTGGCGCGTAGCATTGACGCGGCCCTGCCCTGCTCGACTCCTCCTCCCCTGGAGGTGCGTTTGCGAAGCGCCCTCCTTGCTGGGGTGCTTCCAACGAGGGTGGTTGCTCTGCTTTCTTATCTTGCCCTAGAGCCCAGGCCGCGAGGGCGCGGGTACGGATATGCTCGCCTCTCTGATGGGGAGGTCCGAGGCAGAGGGGGGGCCCGGGTCTCCCCGCGCCGAGCGCAGAGCCGCACGGCGGGGGGCTCTTCTCTGCCGGCGGCGGGCTCGGCTTTTCTCGGGGCGCCTCTGGAGGGCCCCGGGGCCGTCAGGCCACGGCTCGTGATGGTCTGTACCCAGACCTCCTGGCGTCGTGAAAAAATCACGACGGAAGGTTTTTCGTTATTTTCTGCCTCCGGGGGTCCTCACCGGGCCTCGGGACCGTCAAAAAACGACTCGGGATGCAAAGCCGGTCCCGGGGAAGGGGTCCAGACCTCTGGGGGTCGACGTTGTGAAAAAATCACGACGTCGGGGGTCTGGGTAGGCCTGTCCCACGGAGGGGCCCCCGGCAGATCACGACCTCGGAGGTTTGCCGGGTGGGCGCAGCGGGGGGGGGCCAGGCCGAGAGCGGAGCTGCGACGGGAGGCTTCGTTGGTGACGGGTTCGGCTTCCCGGGGCGCCTCTCTTGCGGGCCCCGGGGCCGTCGAGCAACGGTTAGTGGCCATCACGAAGCGCTGCTTCCAATTGGTTCCGATTGATTTCAATCTGGATACCAGTCAACTGGAGCGGACATTGGATCCAAACAGGGTTCTGATCAGATGCACTGAGCAGGGGCCCGAGCGAGACCCCGCCCCCTGCCCCCCCCTCTGCCAAGTGTCGAAACCCTAAGTAAATTATCCTGGCGAAGTGCCCTACCATACGCAGTTGTGAGTATCGCCGTTGTGGGTATCCCTTTCGGTGGATCTCCTTATGGGGCCACGAAGCGCGTAAAGGGTGGGCCGAAGTTGGGCGGGGACGCATGCGGGCGCAGACATTGGGGCCTTCGTTGGCGCTCCATATGAGGCCACGAAACGTGTGAGGGGTGTGCCGAAATGGAGCGGGGCCGCCATGCGAACGTCGCCACGGATGTCATCGGTGGAGCTCCGTGTGGGGCCACGAAACGCGTGAAAGGTATGCCGAAATCGGTGGGGGGGACGCATGCGAACGTCGCCTGGGGCCTTCGGTGGAGCTCCATATGGGGCCACGAGACACCGTACTGGGTGGCGCGGGACTCCTGTGATCACAGCCATTGGGGCCTTCGGTGGAGCTCCCTGTGGGGCCTCAAAGCTTCGTACTGGGTGGTGCTGGACGCATGCGATCACAGCCACTTGGGCCTTCAGTGAAGCTCCCCACGAAGCGCCGTACTTGGTGGCGCGTGACGCACGTGATCACAGCCACTGGGGCCTTCGGTGGAGCGCCCCACGGGGCCTCAAAGCTTCGTACTGGGTGGCGCGGGACGCATGCGATCACAGCCACTTGGGGCCTTCGGTGGAGCTCCCTGTGGGGCCACGATGGCGCCGTACTGGGTGGCGCGGGACGCACGTGATCACAGCCACTGGGGCCTTCGGTGGAGCGCCCCGTGGGACCACGAAACGCCGTATTGGGTGGCGCGGGACGCATGTGATCACATCCATGGGGCCGTCGGTGGAGCTTCCTATGGTGCCACGAAGCGCCGTACTGGGTGGCGCGGGACGCATGTAATCACAGCCGCTGGGGCCTTCGGTGGAGCTGCCACTGGGGCCTCCAGTGAAGCTTCCTATGGGGCAACTAAGCGTCTGAGGGGTGTGCCAAAGTGAGGGTGGTGGCGGCATGCCAATGCAGCCACTGGGACCTTCGGTGGAGCTCCCTATGGGGCCACGTAGCGTGTGAGGGTATGCCAAAGTGAGGGGGGTGGCGGCATGCGAAAGCAGCCACCAGAGCCTTGGGTGGAGCTCCCCATGGGGCCACGAAACGTGCGAAGGGTGTGGCAAAGTGAGTTGGGTTGCGGCATGCGAACGCAGCCGATGGGGCCTTCGGTGGAGCTCCCTACGGGGCCACGAAGCGTGTGAGGGGTGTGCCAAAGTGAGGGGGTGACGGGAGGAGGGAGGAGCGAGAGGCGGAGAAGGAGAGGAGAGGAGGAGGAGAGGAGTTGTCGCCGGGACTGTCTCTTCAAAGCGAAGTCCCAACACCATAGGATGGTGGGGAAAAAACTCACATGAGCCAGGCCTCCCAGATGGGCTCTGAGGAGATGGGGTCGGAGGATCGCGCCGCATCGCCAATGCATCGGCGATGCGCCTCGATGTGAATTCCGATTTTCTCCCTGCTGGCTTCGCCGATGCACTGCGACGTCGCTGATGCATCGGCGATGCGGCGCGATTGTCCGACCCCATCTGCTCGGACACCATCTGGAAGGCCTCCAGATGAACAGCCGGTTCCCCAGAGCGGGGGGATCCAGGCAGATCACGACGTCGGAGGTCTGCTGGGTGGGCGAGGCAGGGGGGGGGCTTTGCCAGGCCCTGAACAGGCGGCGCTGCGCGAACGAGCGCGACCTCTCGCAAGCGGTTTGCTGGAGTGGCCGGTCCCTTCGTCTGGGGCTGCGAAGGGGCGTGGGAGGTGCTCGTGCAAGTCCGGACCAGGTGGCAGTCACACCCACCAAACCGCCCCAACCCAACCCGGAGGCCCCAATGTGCCCTTCATTCCCGGTGGTGGGGGCGTCGGGGAGCATCTGCATTGAAACAACACACGTGCAACCCGTACCCTCCCCCCCCCCGAAGTGTGGGTCTTCGGGTGTGGTTGGGGTGGTCTGTCAGGCAGTCGGGCAGGACCAGCCGCCCCCCCCCCCGTTGGCGCCCCGCCCTCCTCCGCCTCCTCCTCCTCCTGCTCCTCCTCCTCCTCCTCCTCCTCCTGCTCCTCCTCCTCCTCCTCCTCCTCTTCTTCCTCTTCCTCCTCCTCCTCCTCCTCCTCTCACGAGGAGGACGAGGCGGAGGAGGGCTCGAAGCCGCAGGGCGCGCAGGCGCAGGAGGCGGCCGCGCCCGCGGCCGAGGCCGAGAGCCCGCGCGTCCCGGTCGGCGAGCGGTCCGCAAAGGGCGAGGGCTTGGGCGACGTGGACGGCGAGCGGCTTGCGGCGGAGGAGCTTAGTCGGCGGCGAGCCCGGGGGAGAGGCGGGAGGGAGGAGGCCTCCTCTCCACTGGGCTGGGCGGGTGGGGGTGCTTAGATGATGGGGGGGGCTTATCAGTGGACGCCACAGGGGCTACACCCGGCTTAATTTGGCTTCTCAGCGGGTTACACATGCCCCAAGTGGCTTGGGGGGGATCGCGATCCAGGCTAAGTGGGCCCCACCCACTTAGCGGAGTTGTCTTATCCCCCTAAGCCATTTGGGGCATGTGTAGCCCCTTTATAAACTAGGTTAGGCCAGGCGTAACCCCTTTGGCGTCCACTGATACTCCCCCTATCCTCATCTTGGGGGCCTTTTGGGGCGTCTTGGCAGCTTCGGAGGCCGACTGGAGGCCACCGTGGGCGTCAAGGAGCGATATTTCGGCGACTCGTGGCCCTCTGGGACCGTCAGGGGAGCGTTTTGGTGCCTTTTAGGCCTGTTTTGTAGCCCTCCGCTCCCCCATGGCGCGTTCGGTCCGGGGTCGCGCCGCGCCCGGGGGGAGGGTCGAATTGCCAGTGTGGGGTCACTTGGGGGGGGGATTATGGGGGGGGATCATCTCACACGCCCAGAGAACCACAAGGGGTCGGCGGATTTTCTCCACGCCGACGCCAGCGTTGCATCACCGACGTCGCCGATGCATCGCCGGTGCATCGCCGATGTATCGCCGATGCGGCGCGACCCTCTGACCCCATCTACTCGGACCCCATCTAGGAGGCCTCTAAAGAAGGCTCGGAAGTCCCCAGGCCTTCTGAGAAGGTTTCCAAGACCTCTCAGAAGGCGCGAGGGCTTTTGGGAAGTCCAGGCGCATTCTGAGAAGGCCTTCTCCTTCTCATTTCCCCCCCTCGCTCGCCTCCGACGTAGAGGAGGAACATGTACCAATACTGCTGCCCTTGCCTCGTTTTCGCCTTTCGTTGGGCCTCCTGGGAGGCCATCGTCGCCACCAAGGGGTTCGCCTCGGCATCCTGGTCAGAGCGCACCCTGGGAGAGGTCGGGGGAGTAGATTCCGCTTCAGCGTTGATGAGCGTCGAGCAGCGTCTGACAATCAGTGAGATAGCGCAGACTAGCGCGGATTGACGTCGGCCAGCGTCGACAAGTGTCGATTCAGCGCCGACCACCGTCGACTAGGGTCCATGGGCGTCGATTACCGTCGGCCAACAGGATAGTTTCGGACGAGGCTAGGATGATTAAATCTGTTTCAGAGCGTTCCAGAACGCTAAGAGCGTTCTAGAACGCTCGGAGAAGGCCGCGGCGACCGAGATGTCCTCCAGAGCTGCCGGATCTCAGAGATTCTCGATTCGTCCCCGCCCGATGTGATCCTCGTCCTGGCGTCGTCTCCTGGCAGGGGAGGCTCTCGTGAGCTGCCACCGGAGGAGCTCGCCCTCGTGGGGCACCTCTGCGGCCCGCCGGCCTGGCGGTGGCGCGTGCGCGAGCTCCGGCCGAGGCCGCGGGGCCGAGCGCTGGGCGCGGCCGAGGCCGAGGACCCGGACCTCGAGGAGCCGCCCTGCCGTCAGTATGGCTTAGTCGCCCCCCGTCCCCGTCCCCGTCCCCCTGCATACGGGGATCGACAAGGGCGCCCTCGAGGGCGCGAAGTTCTTCGCGCTTCGCGCTTCGCGGTGCGGCTCCGATTCCTCATCCTCCTCTTATCCCCTGGGGGGCGGCGCGGGGGCCTCCTGGGAGGCCCCAGTCGCCGCGGATGGGTTCGTCTCGAGATCCTGGTCAGAACGTATCCCAGGAGAGGCCGGGGGAGGAGCGGCATCGACGGCGGCGGCGGCGATGACGCCGGCGGCGGCGACGCTGACGACAGCGGCGAGGACGACCGCAGTGACGTCCGCAGCGAGGACGACGGCGGCGGCAGCGGTGGCGGCTACGACGGACGGCGGCGGTGGCCACAACGATGGCGGCACCAGGACTTCGAGTTCGTGGCCGGCATCCCCGACGTGCCAGCTGCGGAATCATCGCCGCCCTTGGGCACGGAGGTGGCGGAGCGATTGGACACCGAGGCCTCCCGTCTTCCCCTCCCTTTCCGCCTGAGAGAGCGAAGGCTCAGGGAAGGCCATACGCTTCCCAGGACAGGCGCACCCTGGAAAGAGGCCCTCGTAGGGACCAGGGCTGGGCGCATTGGCGCACGGTGTGGCTGGAGCCATGAATCCTGCTAGTCCTCTCTGGGAGTACGTCGCCCTTGGGGATGCTTGGACCTCACAAGAGGGCAGGGGAGGGCGGAGGCGCAGGCGCAGGCGCATGCGCAGGCGGAGGCGGAGGAGGAGGAGGAGGAGGTGGAGGAGGAGGAGGTCGTACTACTAATATTCAGATTAATGTCACTCATAAGAATATAAATAGTGTTACCACTCAGAAAATATGTCTACTACTCAGATGAAAAAGAAGGATGATGATGATACTCAAAATAGTAGTAGTAATACTAATCATACCAATAATATTGAGAGGAGGAGGAGGAGGAGAAGGAGGAGGAGGAGGAGGAGGAGGAGGAGACGGAGGAGACGGAGGAGAGCGGAAAAGAGGGAGGGGAGTAGTCATGCCTTTTGTTCCCCTCCTCCCCACTCACTCGCTCTTGGCCGCACCTGGAGAAGACCCTTCTCGTCCCCCTCGCCCGCCTGCACAGGACGCAGCCGCTCCAGAGGCCGCGGCGGCCGCCGCAGCGCCCGCGGAGACTGCAGCCGCCTCGCGCGCCGCGGCGCGCGAGACGGCCGCGCCAGCCTCGACGCCACACGCGGCGGCGCGCGAGCGCTCGCGCGCCCGCGAGCGCTCGCGCGCCCGCGAGCGCTCGCCGTCGCTGCCCGGAGGGCGCCGGCGCCCGCCGTCACCCGCGGGGGGCCCGCGGCGCCGGCGCAGCGCCGAGCGCGGCGTCGAGCGCGGCGGCAGGGCGGGCTCGGAGGGGCGCGGCGCCGCGCCGCGCTCGGAGGAGCGGCGGCCCAGGCGACCCGAGGGGCGGCGCGGGCGGGGCGAGGAGGGGGCGGGCGGTGCGCAGGCGGCCGAGAGGCTGCTGCCGCAGCAGGTCCTGCGCGCCGCGGCCGAGGTGGCCAGGCGGCGGGGGGCGCCCGCGAGAGCGGCGGGGACGAAGAGGGCGGTAAAGGATGAGCGTTTTTCCGCCGTCGGGGATGCCTGCCCCAGGGCGGCTGGAAAGTTTGTTGCGCCCCAACGTGGCACCGTAGTGGTTTCAGCTTTGTAGCCGCCCAGGGAGTTGGCGCCCCCGACGGCGGAAACATTTATTTTATACCAGTCCTCGTCTGCTAAATAGCGCAGGAGGGGAACATCTGCACACAGAAGCACACACACAGACGCAGATCTCCAGGGGAAGATCTGTGAAGTGGAGGGGGAGACGAAGCTCCAGAAGATACGTAAACACTGTGTGGAATCCTGGGCTTCGTGTTGATTTATTTGTGTCTCCCTGGGGCCCCCTCAATCGTGCGCTCCGCACCTGCACCGGTCCTGGCCCGGCCAGCGCCTGGCCCAGCATCGGTGCGTGCTGACGGGCTCCGAGTGAGGGAGGCCTTCCAGAGCGAGAGGACGTAACGTGTACATGAATCCGCGGTGGCTTCGAAAGAGCTCGAAGAACAAACAACGGCATAAACATACACTTTTTGCGCTCCCCGCAGATCTCTTGGATCCGCGCTAGGCGCGCTCCTCGCGCCAGGGAGGGGGTCCAGGTCAGGTCTGAGAAATCCGCGCGGAGCGCCAACAGTTTATGTTTATAGTTTTTTTTTTTTCTTATTCTGTGAATCCGCGTTGGCTTCGTAAGAGCGCATTGCGCGAACGTTCGTGGCACGAGGCTGGTACGGTACAGTCAACCCGCATAGGAAGGATGATCGACTTCCCGTGGATACCCTTGCATCCTTGCCTCTTTGGTCATCTTCGGTCCATCTTCAACCACTTTTGATTGCCAGCCCCGTTCGAAGAGCCTCGGCATGAGCGTCCAAGGCCCTCGCATCCTTACCGCGCATCCTTATATGGTTTGACTGTAGGTTCGTGCGGCGATGGTGCGCGGGCGTCACTGGCGAAGGCGTTCAGGGTTGAATTCTGCGACGCGGAAGCACCGAGGGATACGGTGACGCCACTGGACCCGACGGAATTCACCCTTGACAGATCGGGGCCGCGATCGGTTCAAGGCTGAACGATCGACGCGGTGTCAGACACCTTTGAGCGCGCCGACGCCGCGCGAATCTACCGTATCACGAAGCTGGTCTCGCGGACTGGCTGGGCGCGTACGTCCGGTGCGTGCTTCCCAGAAGCATGGAGTTCCCCCATCGCCGAGTGCTCGCCGATCGGGGCGCCCCAGCCTGCCAGTGGATCGTCTGGTTGCCTCCTTGGAGGTCTGCGGCCAATCGGTCGGCGACGTGGCATCGTTTCCAGGTCGTCGAAGATCGGAGGCCTGGGGGTTGGCACCGTCACAGATATCGGCGGCTTGCCTACACCGAGGGAGGATGATCCCGATCTCGGTGGTGGTGGTGGTATTCGGGCCTCCCAGGTGGCAGAGGTATGCCCACCAACGCCAAAGCCAATGATCATCTTCTCCCCCGTTGAGGTGCCCTGCCGAGTCCGTGTTGGTGCTTCTTTCCAGGCCCGCAATGAGAACAAACATTGACGGCATGAGCGTACAGTTTTGGCGGCCTCCGCAGCTCTCTTGCACCTGCGCTGGGGGCCCCCTGGCGGCGCCGCCCCTTGCGCGCTCCCGCGCGCCGGGGAGGGGGGGTCCAGCGCAGAGTCAAGAAGTCCGCGCGGGCCGTCAAGCCTCCTCCTCCTCCTCCGCCTCCGCCCCCGCCCCCGCCTCCTTCTCCTCCTCCTCCTCCTCCTCCTCCTCCCTCCCTCCTGGTCCCTCCTCCCTCCTCCTCCTCCTCCTCCTCCTCCTCCTCCTCCGCCTCCGCCTCCGCCTCCGCCTCCGCCTCCGCCTCCGCCTCCGCCTCCTCTCTGGAGGTGCCTCCTCCTGTGGGTATGTTTATGCCGTGTTTTTTTGTTCCTCTGTGTCAGTGCTCCCCTCTGCACCAGTCTCCCCCTCTTTCGGCTCGCCTGAGGCGCGCTGGCGCAGCGGCGACCCCAGCGCGGGCGTTCTCGAGGCTGAGCGCCGCCAGTGGTTCAGAGTCGGCCGATACTGGACGACCTGCGCCGTCGGAAAGCAGCGATCGTTCAGGGTGTAACGGCCCACGCGGTGCCAGACACCGGCGCCGACGTCGTCACGGCACGAGCCTGTCGTACGCCCTCCTGGCCAAGCCTGGAGGGCGTATGCACCGATGCTGGCCCCAGATGGGCCTGGCTGGGGTGTCAGTGCGTCGTCGGCGCCCTCCGCAGGCAGTGCCAGGAGAGGGAGCTCAGGCGCGAGGACGGTCGGCGCCTGGGGAAAGGGGTACCGCCTGCCAACCGGGGGGCATCATCGTCTCGTCCGAATCTCACCCGTCGTCAGCATCGTCATCACCCTTGCCATCGAGTCGCCACGGTCGCCAAGAAGCTTCCTCGAAGAAGCTCGGGCCCACCCTTCCTCCAAGGAGCTCGAGCTTCCAATGGGAGAGCCCACCCTTCCTCCAAGAAACTCGAGCTTATTTCTCTTCTAAAAAGCTCGAGCTTCACCCTTTCTTCAAGAAGCTCGAGCCCACCCTTCCTCCAACAAGTGGCACGTGTGCCATGGCTCTTGCACAAAAAGGAAGGGGGAGGAGGAGGAGGTGGAGGAGGAGGGGGGAGGCTCCACTTGGGGGCGCTGGGGACCACTGGGGGGCGCTGGGGAGGTCCCACTGGTGGGGGGGAGGGGTGCGTCGCGAAAAATAAAATCGTCGGGGGCGGAGGGGGCGCTGGGCGCGGCGGGGGAGGCCCCACTCGGGGGCGCTGGGACCACTGGGGGGCTCGGGAGGTCCCACTGGGGGGGGGGGGAGGGGTGCGTCGCGAAACAAAAAAAAAAACGTCGGGGCGGAGGGGGCGCTGGGCGCGGCTGTGGGAGGCTCCACTGGGGGGCTCTGAGGGACCAACTGGGCGGGCGCTGGGGAGGGCCCACGGGGGGGGGAGGGGTGCGTCGCGAAAAATAAAATCGTCGGGGCGGAGGGGGCACTGGGCGCGGCTGGGGAGGCCCCACTGGGGGGCGCTGGGGACCACTGGGGAGCGCTGGGGAGGTCCCACTGGGGGGAGGAGGGGTGCGTCGCGAAAAATAAAATCGTCGGGGCGGAGGGGGCACTGGGCGCGGCTGGGGAGGCCCCACTGGGGGGCGCTGGGGGCCACTGGGGGGGCGCTGGGGAGGTCCCACTGGGGGGGGGGGAGGGGGGCGTCGCGAAAAATAAAATCGTCGGGGCGGAGGGGGGCACTGGGCGCGGAGGCTGGGGGGCGCTGGGGACCACTGGGGGGCGCTGGGGAGGTCCCACTGGGGGGGGTGAGGGGTGCGTCGCGAAAAATAAAATCGTCGGGGCGGAG